CTGAGAGGTACGGGGGAGCTAGGTTATGGATGGCTTTGAATGTATATAGCAGAAATTTGAATTGGATTCTGGAAGTGACTGGGAGCCAGTGGAGCTGCTAAACAACAGGGGTGATGTGGTGGAAGGAGGGAGTTCTAGTAATGATGCAGGATTTTACCATGGTTTTACCCATCAACTTATACCCTATTAATTATTTTACCGTATATTACATCTAAATTTCATGGTTAAACAGTACATGTTAAAATGGTATTTAGCTAGCTACTTTGATAAACTCAGCTAGTAAAAAGGCAGCAGTGGCCTAAAATACATAAATATAAATTTACTTACTGAAAAAAATGAAGTGGAGACTCCTTGGATGCTCTATTAGTGCAATTAATACCACAGCAAGTCATTTTGTCCAACAATTGCACAAATAATATCCAAAAAAGAATACACAAATATAGAGACTCAAAATCCCGGAACAGTTTTCAGGCGAGACAGAGGCTCTACTGAGGCCTTTCCACATAGCTAGCTCTGTGGTCACGTGGGTCTGATGCTCATTAATTATACAGAATTTTCGGCATTTAATACACTTAAACAGAAGAGTGTGAAAAAAATTCACCCCCCTCAAAGTTGTCATGAGTGTAAACTAGATCATTTAAACCTAAAACATGTTTTGGTACCAGGCTGTGAACATGTTTATTTCTGCTGTGAAATTGGCATTTTTAACATGGGAGTCAATGAGGATTTGCTCGCTTCTGACACCAGTCCCCAGAGAATGAGGGTGGAACTACAATTTATTTCACTTCCGCATTTGCCTCAATTTTTGACCCGCATTGTGGGGGCTTGGGTTTAACTAATGCACCAGCCGTGTTCCAGTCCGTTTTAGGAGACTTTCTAAATAAGTTTGTGACTGTTTATTTAGATCAGGGGTGTCAAACTCACAAGGGGCCGAAATGAAACTCTGGGACCAAGTCGAGGGCCAAACTTAATATTTTTGAAAAAGTGATGGCAAATTTGCACATTTTCTTTATCAACATCTATGCAATTTTTGAACCTTTACATTTGGAAACAAACTTATTTCTGCATTAACACGGAATGTGGAATAACCAAATTACACACGAGCAAGTCAGTTTTAAATAAAAGGCATCAGTGGTACTCATTACTTGTGGTATAATCAGCATTTTATAAATCTATTCAGGATTTATGTTTTCTTGTTTATTCATTTTTCTTATTTTTTATTCTCTTTTTTTCTCCTGTAATACGTGTCATCGCTGCTGTGATGTCTAGCTTTCCCCACTGAGGAACAATAAAGGGATTTTCTATTCTATTCATCTATCTGCAGCCTTTCCACTTCCTGTTTACTGTAGGTTAAATCTTTTCTCACGGCCCAACAACAAAATAAAAATATCATTTTATCTTAAATGAAAATGCAACATCTCACCTGTTAACTTTCATGTTTTGGAGCAGAAAAAGAGCATAAAGCCAACATATTTAAAGCTCAGTTTGCTCCACTGGTTTACTGTGATGCTCACCTGTTCCAGCCAGATACCTGCATCATGGGGTTGATCTGAGCTGAGGAGGAGACTCCTGTTGTTTTGTTCATCTTCATCATAATAATGACAACATTAGATGACAACAGGTGCTCACATAGGTTTGTGCTGATGAACATGTCTGAGCAGCTTGACCGCGTTGTTGTGTGTCGGGGAGGAAACACAACGACAGCAACCACAGAGCCGTGCTGGTTTGAGCGTGTCGCTGCTCGCTGGAGTTATATCGGCTCTGTCTGGAAGTTAGTTGGAACACTTTTTCTTTCAGTCGTGAACACATTACTGAGCGGCTAGAATCTCCGTTTCTGGGCTTCAACGTCAGAAAACAGCTGAGTGAACTCGGCGCTGAGTGAGAGGAGTGTAGTTTGTCCGAGACAGCGGAGCTGCAGAGACCGGCAGCAGGCGCTGAAAAAACACTAAGAAGGGGGCTTCGTCGGCTCAGCGCTGACGCCGCAAAGCATCATGGGAGTTGAAGTCTCTGCAGTAAAATCGGCCAGCGGGCCAGTTTTAATATATTTTTGATATTTATCTCGCGGGCCACATAAAAATGCTCCGCGGGCCTTGAGTCTGACATATGTGATTTAGATGATATTTTGATTTTTTCTAACTCCTTAGAGCAACATGTAAGGGCCATGTTACAGCGCCTCCTGGAGAACCGCTTATATGTAAAGGTGGACAAACGTGTGTTCCACGTCCCCAAGGTAAAGTTCCTTGGTTTTATCATTGAGAGCGGGAGGCTAAGGGCAGACCCTGAGAAGGTCAGTGCAGTCACTGAGTGGCCCATTCCAACTTCTCGAAAGCAGTTACAAAGCTTTCTGGGCTTCGCCAACTTTTACAGGAGGTTCATAAGGAACTACCGCCAGACCGCCGCCCCACTGACAAACCTGACCTCTGTTAATCGCCCTTTTGTTTGGTCCTCAGAAGCCGAGGCTGCCTTCCAGACCTTGAAGAGGAAGTTCACTAACGCCCCTGTGCTCCACAGACCTGATCCGCAACGCCAGTTCATCCTCGAAGTGGATGCCTCCGACACCGGCATCGGCACTGTACTCTCAGGTATCTCCCACGGATAATAAACTTCATCTCTGTGCCTTTTTCTCTCACCGTTTAATTCCCGCAGAGAGCAGATATGACATGGGTGACCGAGAGCTGCTGGCTGTAAAGCTCGCTATTGAGGAGTGGAGACTGGCTGGAGGGGGCAGAAACACCTTTCGTCATCTGGACGGACCACAAGAATCTGGTTTACCTGAGAGAAGCTAAGAGGCTTAATCCACGACAGTACAGGTGGTCTCTTTTCTTCTCACGTTTCAATTTCCAGATTCCTTACCGCCCTCGGTCTAAAAACACAAAACCAGACGCTCTCTCCAGGTTGTACGCTCCGGATCAGGAGGTTGAGCCCTCCACCATGTGTGGTGGGAGGAGTCACGTGGGAGATCACGGAGTGCCACGTATGTGCCCAACAGAAGGGGGACCATCGGTCTACGGCAGGCTTATTAAACCCCCTTCCTACTCCCTCACGTCTCTGGTCACAGATAGCCTTAGATTTCATCTGAGGGTTGCCTGATTCGCATGGTTTTTCCACCATCCTCACCATAGTGGACAGGTTTTCGAAGGCTTGCCACCTCGTACCCCTAAAGTCTCTCCCTGCCTCCTCTGTTACTGCTAAACTCCTCGTTAAGCATGTGTTCAGGTTGCACGGGATTCCAGAGGAGATTCTCTCGGATCGGGGACCTCAATTTATCTCCAAATTATGGAAGTTCGCCGAGGCTCTGGGGGTTAAGGTCTCCTTCGCTTCTGGATATCACCCACAGACAAATGGACAACGTAAGCGCATGAATCAAGAGCTCGGGGCCATACTGCGATGCATCTGCTCCGCACACCCGTCCTTCTGGAGCTCTCATCTCGCCTGGGTGGAGTACGCCCATAACTGCCACGTTTCTATCGCTACAGGTCAGTCTCCATTTGAAGCCTCTCTAGGTTACCAGTCATCCCCGTTTCCCCAGCAGCCCTCGGCTCCATCTTTGGTCCCTCAGTTTCTCCGGGGGGCCAGCGTGGGAGTCCACCCGGGCCGCTGTGGACAGGACGGCTGACAGTAACAAGCGGCTGGCCGACCGCCGGCGACGTCTGGCCCCGTATTACGCCCCTGGTCAGGAAGTATGGCTCTCGTCTAAGGACATCCCGCTGAAGGACACCTCCCGTAAGTTCACTCCCAGATTCATAGACCCATTAAGATCCTGGAGGTCCCCACTCCCTCCACGGTTCGACTAGAGCTCCCACGCTCGCTCCGGATTCACCCGGTTTTTCACGTTTCCCTGGTCAAGCCTGTGGGTTCTAGCCCCCTCTGTCCTGTGCCGGCTCCCCCTGCGCAGTACTACAAGGGGGGCCTCGGTTCGCAGGATCCTGGATTAATGGCCCCACGGATGTGACACCCAGTACCTGGTCGATTGGGAGGGGTATTGCGCGGAGGAGCGTTCCTGGGTCCCCCGCTTCTTTATAGAGGACCCGTCCCTGATCCAGGACTACGAGGCTGCATCTGGTGGGACGCCAGGAGGCGTCCGTTGAGGGGGGTGGGGTGCTGTCATGTGCCGGGGTGAGTGCTCCTCTCATTTTTGTTCCATCTTTGAGCTGCTGTGTTTCAGGACAGGGAGGCTCCAGCTGCTGCTCATTAACAATCAGTGGGTCCAGCTATAAGAGGAGGAGGAGGAGAACATATCCACGCCGGATGATTAACTACAACTTGGTAGTTCCAGCCCTTTGTGTCTCCAGGGTAACTAGTGATTTTTGGACTTTAGAACCCTTGTGGATATACTTGTACTTACCTGTTCCCAGGAATTTTGGATCATTTGTGGACCTTACCTTGACTCCTCAGGATCTTCTTGGAATTCTGAAGCTTCTCTGGTTTACCTGTGGCTCCTCTGATTGACTACTTGGACATTTCCATGATACCGCTGGATTACTCACCTGTGCCCCATAAATCTCCTGGACGCAGCATTCACCATTCTCCTCTCCTCCCTGCCGGCCCCCTCTCCTAGACACCCCCTCTTGGATTCACCGGCACTCCACCAACCCACCCAAATTCCTCAGCCCCCATCTTCCCGTAAGTCTTTACTCTGCACCTTCCTAGTTTAGACTTACCTCCCTGGACTCACCTCTTCCTCTGCTCTCCCCTCCTCAGACACTGCGGTTCCGTTGTAATCCCCACTGAACCTTATCCAGTGCCCCTTAATTCCCAATTTTTTAAATAAAATTCTTTAATTTTTCTAATTGACTCGTGAGTGGTGAATTCTGCATGTCTTGGGTTAAACTCGTCCCCAAAACCATGTCACTTGACTCTCCCATATTCCAGTCAGAATTGACAATGCTCATCGGACAAGAAGCGAAACGCCTTTATGAAACCAAAAGTTCAGTTGCCTTCATTTGAACCCTTTGGATTACTAGTGTAAGCAAATTTTGAATCCCAAAGAGACAAACAAATTCGAGATTTTCTTTATTTTAAAAAGAAAATAAAGCAGACCAATAGTATTTGTATTATACAATACTCTTGTAAAACTGAACATATTAGCAACTGAGAAAAGCAAGGAACAGTGGTTGTCATTACTGCTGACTTAGCATTTTCAAACCCAATGTCAAAAGCAACTTATTCTGACAGTTTCACTGCATTATGGGAAAAAACTACATTAAAACAATATCAAAAAAGCACAAGAACCATGCTACGAAAAATCGCTCTAAACACTCCAATTAATTGATTCTGGCACATTATTAGTACGTACATTAACACTGTCAGAGTATGACTTAATCCCAAAAGGTAACTTCACAATCAGACAAGTAACAACTGTATTTTTCTTGGACCGATCGGTCTTCCACTTAGTTCTTGAACTGCATGCAGAGCCTCCTTACGAGACTCAAACACCAAGGTGGCAGAGCCTTTAGCTTTCCCATTCTGTTCGTACTGAAGAGAGACAGATCCAGGTATGATACGATATCCGTAACAGAAATCATAGACTTCCTCAGGTCTGATTTGGAATGGCAAGTTCACCAACTGTACACAAGTGGGACCATCAAAACGCTGTTCAGGAGAACCAAACCTGCCATGAAACCCATTTCCAAGATCTTGTGGAGAACGACATCTCACTGAACAATGTTCGTAGTCAAAACCCATGCAGGCGTTGACATTTGCATTGGTCATATAACTATCTTTCCTTACATCAGGATAGACATCACCAGAGGGATAAAGCGACTTACTTCCCATGTTGAAGTGCTGTTCATCTTTTGGCAATGGTTCTTGTTTTTCTGCTGGCTCAGCAGCCAGCTGTTTCATCTGCGCACGTGAAATACATTTCATTGTGATTTCAGACCCAAGAAACCGGCGTCCATTTTGAGTAATTGCATTTCCAGCCTCTGCTTCAGACACAAAGAGAACCAAAGCTTGCCCAACTCCAGCACCTCTATGGTCATGCAGAACCCAAACTCTGTCCTCCATGACATTAAATCCATGAAAGAAATCAATTATCTCAACTTTCCGCACATCAGTTGGGAGGTTCCTCACAAATACGCAGGCTTTCTCAGAGTCATACAAGTCCTTGAGGTGAGATGGAGCTCTTTCCTGATGCTTTTCAGAATCTCTGTACGGCCTAACAGCCGAACTATGAGATTCCAGAATCCTTAGCATGTTCTCTCTGGAGATTGGACGAGTATAAATCCATCGGTTACAAAACTCTCTTTTCTCCTGACTTAAAGCTTCACAGTAGTCACGAATGCTCCTGAAGAGTACAAATGCAGATCTAGATCTTCTTCGATCACTGTCAGCAACGAACAGGATCTGGTCATTCTCAAGCTTTGATTTTGGAAAAAGCTGTTTAATACCAACTTGCTCTATTCCAAAAGGCAGGTTTTCCAACATCACACAGTATTCCTTATCAGATGGAGCAATATGCCTCTGAGACATGGGTGATCGTGATCGATCACGATGTTGGGGGTTTCTCTGACCATGAACAGGGGGTCTCCCTCTTTCCAGGTAGTCATCTGGGTTGAGATCCATTTCAATATGATTAACGGCCTTATGCCAGTAATGAATTGTTGTCAGTTTAACCTCAATATATCTTGACCCAATGTATTCCCGATCCCTCTTCAGGGCTTTTATCAAATCTTGCTCCGTTGCAAATCTAACAAAGCCTCTTCCATTGTTTAGTCCCTTAAAATTTTTTAGTAGGAGAATTTCCACAATGAGTAAACCACCAAAAAAGTCTTGGATTTCCCTTTTATTTACAGAAAAAGGCAGCCCATTCAGAAACACACCAAAGAAGTCTTCTGAGTTTGAAGACATTTGGTGCTGAGAGGAAGGGCTAATAGCTGATCGGCTACTGGATCTCCTTCCCACCTCTATGTTCACAGATCTTTGACCATGTCTAGCGTTGTCATCAAACTGCCTCTTCTTGTCACGCTCACACGTTTTGGTCGTTCTTTCAAGTACATTCTGCATCTCTGTTTTGCTGCTGAGTAGCAAAGTTACTTGTGAGTCCTTGATTAACTTCCCTGACCGTAACATGGCTCTTCTTGCATCTTCATCAGAAGCAAAGATAATGAAAGCTTCATCTAGCTCCCCACCAATAATATGCACACCTCCATCTGGGATTCTGAGGCCAGAGAAGAAGCTGCGAATATCCTCAGAACCTGCTGTGACACTCAGTCCCTGTAAACGGATGACGACGGCCATGCTGACGCACAAACAACAGCACCTGTAGACAAAAGGGTACAGAATATTAATAGCCACAAAGCATCAGTAACTCCGCATCACCATTTCAACATTCCAGTTTACCACAATCAAACATGAAAATGAGTCAAGGACGAAAAAGGTGAGGAACATGCCAAACAGCCGTTTTTATAAAACAATGCCGCCGATTTTCCGCAACGCTGTAGCAGCATCAGGGCGCCTTAGGTCATTTATAAGTGGTAAAACTGTGTCAGCAATGTTGCGCAATCATGTCCCTTTTCACAAAAGATTACATGATGGCAGCATAAAGAGGGCATGGCAGCAGTCTGCACTGCTGCAGACTTCTATTCATCTTGGACATAACTTGCTTCTTATTGCAATCAAAGCTGCTCCTAAAGCTGTCCCTCTCACACAGTCCCAGTTCAGTCTCCAGTGATCTGACCTCTAGATTTAACGAAGAAAAGCTCCATGAGCGCTGCATTGCTCCAAATTATCATCTTAGCGGATTCAGTTTACAAAAGTGAAACTTAATGCCCGTGTTTACTTTCATTTTCAATATAGTTGCCGACTGGAGCTCAGCAGTAACTCTGCATGTAATAATGACACCTCCCTCTGTTGCGCCATGGCGTAGTCGCCGTTTTTAAGACAGACAGACAAGACAGATATATTGAGGATTTCACCTCGATAACAATAAATGGACGATAACTACAGGTATGCGCAGAAACAAAAGTTGTCCAGTAAATGGGGCTGTCACATGTATTACGTCTAACGTGATGGAAGAGGTTACTTTTAATGACTGACAAAATAAAATAGTGATATTTCATATAAATATGAATTATCAATATTATTGATCTTTAAATATTTGATTGATAATGAAACTAGGTAATTCGGGTAAGACCAGGGATTCATAACACTTCACAATAATTAGAGACAGAGGCAAAAATAGTTTATAAAAATCAATTAAATACTATATTTCTACTACTAATAATGACACACAAGAAATTACGAAAAATGATGGTTGAAACAAGATAACTGAGACAATGAATAAAATGATGGAATATAAGCTTTGATGTTATGTAGCAAAATCTAATTAAGTGTCTTAGAAAATTGTGATGACTGGGTTGTAAAATAAGTCTGACTGGTTGAACTATCTATCAATTAATAAAACTATCTACGCCAGTTGTGCAGAATCCCTTTTGTTGAAGGCAATCCAAGGGCCGGAGAAGTCGGTACGGACAGGCTGCCAATGGAATTGACTTCTGTGGTATTCAAAGCTCGTAGTTCCACCTCGAATACAGCACCGCTAGTCTGGGAAACCACCGGGGTGAATGCTGGCGGTCCAATGAAGTTTTGCATCTAATGCAGCTTTGCAAAGAAGATTTGACCTTGAAGGATGGTTCAACTCTTACTTACTCGGCTTGGCCGGGCCGAGCAGATGGCAGAAGTCAAAGAATCCAGAAAATGAATTGTTTTATAAACTAACCCCAGGGAGGTGTTTCGGGCATGTCCTGCCAGCAGGAGGCCCCCGGGTCGACCCAGGACACGTTGGAGAGGTTACATCTCCAATCTGGCCCGGGAACGCCTTGGGGTCCTGCCGGAGGAGCTGGTGGAGAAGGCTGGGGAGAGGATGGTCTGGAGCTCCCTAGTTGGGATGCTGCCCCCACGACCCGGACCCGCATAAGCGGAGGAAGACGTGACAAAACTGTTTATCAATTTGGACAAATAAGAGCTTAACAAGTTTAACTCATTCACTGCCATTGACAACTAAAGTCATCATTTTAAATCCAACCGTTCACTGCCAATGACGATTAAGGTCGTCATTTGCATGTTTTAATTGTGTGGGCATCGGAACAAGCCCCCGTACCATGAGAACAAACATCTCAGCTCTAGGGTTGTCACGGTAACCGGTGTAGCGGTAAACCCCAGTAAAAAAGTTGCCTATAATAATAACCGTCTTGTTTTTAAAAAAAACTATATTATCTCGGTGGGTTTACCGTGGCTGCAGTGTAGGCGCGGTGACCCTTACCAGTCACCGTATCATCTGCTGAAGTTGCCGGTGTTCTGCCGGCAGCACATGCGCGCTTTGTTGTTTACAACCAAAACTTTCTTGAAGCTAAAGCTGAAATAATGGCCAAAGGAGGAGACGGCAGTGCTCAGGAGGACATTTTTTATCCCTCAAAGAAGACAAAGTCGGAAGTACGGGCATCTTTTGGATATTTGAAGAATGCCGAGGGACAGTTTATAGAAGATGGCTATCCTGATTGCAGCACGTGCAGGAATAGTGTCTGTGAAAGGCAGCAACGCTTCAAATCTCATGTGTGACCATCACCCACAACTCTACAGTCAACGCAAGGCACGCTAACGTTAGCGTTTCAGCTAAAATGCGTGATCTGAGGATTTGGGTTGAGGGAGAATGCAACGAGTCGCTATATAAAGCAGCCGCAGCGCCGCTACCTGCATACAAACCGTGTCGCGGACACCCCCATATTGAAATGACGCTATGCATTACGGGGCTCCCAGGGGCAGATACGAGTTGGTCTCTCTCCGAGAATAATTATGAATTTAACAATGATTACTGCCTGATGACATTTTCCCACATCTGCAAAGCTCACTGGAAGGACACAAACAGAGGACAATATTTTCCTGATATAGGGTTTATTACTCAAGTAAGGGTAAAAAAAAAAGTATCTGATTAGAAGGCTACTTGAGTACTGAGTATCATCTGGTCTAATATTTTTAAATGATGACATCAGACATAAAATAAGAAGTTATGGGCAAATATTGGTATTTTAAAGACTAAAGGGAAAAAATGTAAACAAACAAAATAATTACAAAATAACACATTTTAGGCAAAATTTAGACACAAACTGAGGACAATATTTCCTGATATACAGTGTTTATTTAATTGTGTGAAAATGTAGCACGTTTAAAAAAATACCGTGATAATACCGAAAACCGTGGTAATTTTGGTCACAATAACCGTGAGGTTAAATTTTCACACCGTAACAACGCTACTCAGCTCTAAAGCCGATCTTCATCTGCATACGTCACACGTCACGTGATCAGGAAGCAGAATATCCATGTGGTAGGAGATAGTTTTGGGCTGTTGCTGTAAAAAAAAGTGAGGCATGAACCGGAAAAGCTTCTGCCGATCACAATTCGACAACGGATTTTGAAAGAACGGATAAAGCTCGACACGCGCAGATTCTTCATGATGTAAGAGGTTAGTCTCCGCCTTGTTTTGGCGTTGACATCATCCTAGCGCTCACCGTTCTGTGAGTCTTAAAAAAAACAGTAAAAACTGTGAGAAACGCTGGCAGCAAAGGGCTTTACCGATCAGGAAACGGCTGGCAGAGAATGAGTTAAAGAGGGCAGTTATCAAAGACCTCAGACACCACTTATTTCTCAAATACTCAACACAGAAGATTCACCACAGGTCCAGGATTTTAAAAAGACCATCCACGACGACCTCAGCAGTAGATACACCAGTGAGGTGGAAAAAAGCCGTCTGTATACAGCTTCTGCTCTTGGCCCCTATTTCAAGGCCTTACCTTTCCTTTCTGGGGAGGATAGAGAGCAGACATATTGCAAAGTGATTGCTGAGGCAGCATTACTGGAGGTAAATCTGTAATTTTATTTTATATAGAAAATGTGTATGGTTGAAGTGGTTTCAAGATAAATACATATGTGCAGGGTCCGAAATTAAATTTTTTACTCACCGGCCAAGTTGGCCGGTAGATGATGAAAATCTACCGGCCAAGCATATTTTTTACCGGCCAAAATTCTAAATGATTTAGATCTACCTAAAGCATGTTATTCTATATTATGTTGATTCCAAACAGAGTGACAAAATAATTAAAACATCAATTAATAAGGAAAACAACTCTTTTGTCATTTTTATAGTATTCACCTTGTACTCAGAGGTGAATACTTCCAGTGTTTTCAATTGGGGTCCTTCACTGGCTTCCAGCAGCAGCGGGCTGCCTGCTGAGGTGCCTGACTTTAAATTGGCTGTACTAAACAGGCTTATCAGCCAATGCCGATGAAAGAAATGCTAAATGTCGACGCCTAGATGGAAGGTTTGTTGTGCTCGTCATCCAGACTTTGTTCTAGTTGTTCTCTGTCACACTCTCGTTGAATTACATCAACACTTTATGTATATAAATTACACCAGAGCTATTCAAATCTGGGCCTCAAGGGCCGGTATCCAAATTTAAGTGGTTTCTCTGGTCAAGCCCCCACAATGCGGCTCAAAAATTGAGGCCAACCCGGAAGTAGCATAAATTGCAGCTCCACCCTCATCCACTAGGGGCTGGTGTCAGAAGCGAGCAAATCCTTATTGACTCCCATGTTAAAAATAGCAATTTCACAGCAGAAATAAACATGTTTACAGCCTGGTACCAAAACATGTTTTTGGTTTAAATGATCTAGTTTACACTCATGACAACTCTGAGGGGGGTGAATGTTTTTCTCACTCTTCTGTTTAAGTGTATTAAAAGCCTAAAATTCTGTATAATTAATGAGCATCCGACATACGTGACCGCCGCCTCAGACTCACGTGACCACAGAGCTAGCTCCGGGGAAAGGTCTCAGTAGAGCCTCGGTCTGGCTTGGAAACTGTTCCGGGATTTTGAGTCTCTGTGTTTGTGTATTCTTTTTTGGATATTATTTGTGCAATTGTTGGACAAAATGACTTGCTGTGGCATTAATTGCACTAATAGAGCGTCCAAGGAGTCTCCACTTCATTTTTTTCGGTAAGTAAAATTATATTTATGTATTTTAAGTCACTGCCGAGCTGAGCTTAGATTTTAACATGTACTGTTTAACCATGAAATTTAAATGTTATAGGGTAAAACCCAGTGCATTTAACATAATGCTGCACTTTAGAAAATGGGTTGAAATATAACATGTTGGTGGAGCTGGGTTCCCACTATCGGCTTGTGGAGCTCTCGGGAGACCATGTTTAGTTGTTTGGTATTTGAACACATTCATTAAAACAATTACTGATAACTCATTTGATAAGCCATTTTATCACCAGTTTTATTATTTAGAACAGAAAATGAAAATATACAAGATTTATAATACATGACAATTATTTACAGATCAAAACAAATATGGACCAGTTATGTACAGGTGATGCAGGATTAATCTGAGTGACTCTTTTCCTGGATTATTTATTTACACTGAGTAAGCAGGAAGTTTGGCAATGTAGCTGGATCTGCTGCAGGAGGATCCCAGACATGGAAGGAGGGCTGGAACAGCAGTGGCTGAATGTTTCTGGTCAGAGGAACATCATACAGGACGGTCTGCAGAGAGAGCTTTGGGATGCTTCCTCTCACTGTCCACTCCATCGTCCATCTACAGGGACTGCTGGGCTGGCTCAGATGACGGCTGTTACATCTCTAAGACGTATTCGGAAATATGAAATGAGGAGATGGTTTATGGATCCACTAGTATAACAATTGTGATTCTTCAGCAAATAAAACCACAGTGTTGTTTTTAACTCATTCACTGCCAATGACGACTAAAGTCGTCAATTTAGATCCAACCATTCACTGCCAATGACGACTAGTTGTCATTTGCATTTTTTTTACTGTTTGAGCATCAGAACGAGCCCCCGCGCTGAGAGAACAAACATCTCAGCCCTGAAGCCGATCTTCATCCGCATACGTCACAGATCACATGATCAGGAAGCAACACATCCATGTGTTAGGAGATCGTTTTGGGCCGTTCCTGTAAAAAAAGTGAGGCGCGAACCGGAAAAGCGTCTGCCGATCACAATTCGACAACAGATTATGAAAGAACGGATAACGCTCGAAACACACGGCTTCTTCCTGATGTAAGAGGTGAGTCTCCTCTTTGTTTAGGTTGTTTTGGCATCGACATCATGCTAGCGCGCAACGTTCTGTGACTCTTAAAAAAACAGTAAAAACGGTGAGAAACGCTGGCAGCGAAGGCCGTTAGTGATCAGGAAACGGCTGCCAGTGAATGAGTTAATAGAGGTTCGTACATAAATGACTTGCCAGTTAACAGCAGTGGTGGTCTGCTGGTACAGGGTATCTGCAGGTTTAGGGGAACCTAATTTAAGACTTTTTAAGACCTTTTTTAAGGCCACTTTGACCAAATTTAAGCTATTTAAGTAGGGCAGCAGTAGCTCAACAGGTTGAGCGGGTTGTCCAGTAATCGCAAGGTTGCAGGTTCGATCCCAGCTCCGGACAGATAATTCTGCTGTTGTGTCCTTTGGCAAGACACTTAACCCACCTTGCCTGCTGGTGGTGGTCGGAGGGACCGGTGGCGCCAGTGCTCGGAAGCCTCGACTCTGTCAGTGCGCCCCAGGGCAGCTGTGGCTACATCGTAGCTCATCACCATCAGTGTCTGAATGTGTGTGCGAATGTATCAATGATACACTGTAGTGTAAAGCACTTTGGGGTCCTTACTCTGAGAGGCACTATACAAGTACGGGTCATTTATCATTTTGAAAAATTAAATTTAAGGTATAATTTCCAGCTATTGCCTGGAACCGGTGCTAACCACGCAGCGATCGTGGGATTAGACATCCAGTTACCATTAAACTTGCACTTTCCCATGGCGCAAACTCCCACTAGCTTAACCAGCTAACGTGCTAATCTAAAAATAGCCCCCTTACACAACCAACTGAATGTGTACGGTTCTGCTTATGCCAATATCATAAACAAAAAATGCTGAACACTAACTAGAAATTCACGAAAATTTTATAGAAATGAAAGAATCTTGTTTATTGGGTCTTTGGTAAATTAAGACCTCTGGAAACTGTATTTAAGGATTATTTGTCAATTTTAAGGATTTTTAAGGCCTTAAATTTGGAAAAGCTAATTTAAGACTTTTTAAGGACCCGCGGATACCCTGTGGTACCTCCTCCAGGACAGAGCACCACTGACCTCCATACCAGCCTCTGATCGTCTGTAACATCTTCCTCAGTCTCATTCTCCAGGGCCACAACTTCACCAGCACAGAGGCAGATGTGCACAATAGTGCATGCTGACCTGTAATAGATTTAATATTTTTTAAATGAAAAATGTAAAACAAACATAACCTGCAGTACACTGGTTCTGTTCTGTTTAAAGAAAAGCAGCAGGGAATAGTTAAATAAAAACTACAGAGAATTTACATTTTTAAGACAGATCTAAGTGTTATTAGGCTTAAGTTGAATCAACAAATGCACATTGAAAACACTTTTATGTTACTTTATTTACAAAACGCCTGTTTTTAAAATGTTTACACCCACTTGATGCTAAATAAGTGCTAAAGTCCAATTAACATTGGAAACTGTCCTACTGCACAGAATAAACAAAATTACCTGAAAATGGTTGTGAACAAACGCTGGTGATGGATGTGAAGCTGCTGTAGCTCCTAAAATATTCCTGCTCGATTTTTGCTAGCTTTTGCATTTTTCCTTTGCGTGTTAGCTGCCGCCACGGTTGTGACAAGATCTACATACAGGCCATCGTGGAGGTGAGGGCTAGACTGTCCAAATTCAGAGCCGCTGGCTTCCGGTTTTAGCGGTCGAGCATGGACCCGACCTAGCTGGACCGGTAACGCCCCGTCCTCACAAGCATCCTGCCCCTGGATTCGGACACACCCCTATGAGTGCACAGGGTGAGCGACAGGGAACATCTAACATGTTCCTGTGTGCTCAAAAGTTTATGACTTCAGTAAAGTTAGCAAGATATTCACAGATTCGACTTTTGCGGCTTAATACCTCCTGAACACAGGGGTATTTAGAAACATAACATACCTCTTTGGTATCGTGGCAAGGTAGTGAACAAGCTACAACCTCGTTTCTTTCAAAAAACACCGTCCTCAGCTCCCGATGAGCTAAATTGTGCTCTCTGAGACCACGAACCTGCCGAGCGCTCAGGGACCGTCTGAAAATAGACTAACCAGAAACATCTCTCGACAAAATATTAAAGAACTGCAGTGTCACCAAATTCTTAAAATATAACACTACACACATGTTGTTCATCCTACAGCGGTTATGGTAATCCAGTAACATGTTTTTTTTGCATTTTAATTTTTAAAAGTTGTTAATTTTGATATCTGCTCAATTTTAAAATGTATTGATACCAAAATCACACAGCACATTATTATTGGATACAGTTATTTTTTATACCTTATAATTATCTATATTTTCCACATTGAAAATGTTAGTGACACCAAAGTAACGCCAAATAATTAGCACTTACATTATCTACAGTCTGCACCTTTTATTTATTTATTTATTTGAACTTCTCTGATTTTGGTGATTTCTTTCCAACTAACAGACTTCAATAGCTCCTACACTGTAAACTCTATTGACACAAAATAATGTGTGCTGGTAAATACTTACCTGGTCTACATACTACAAACTATACTTTTAGGAAAAAATACTTCTCTGATTTGTTGTGAATTTTTTAAAATGTTTTAATTTGAATAGCTCCTACACTGTAAATTCTGTTGACACAAAATCATGTGTGCTGGTTAGGGTTAGACTATGTAGAGCAGCTTAGTATTGACCAGCACACATGATTTTGTGTCAACAGAATTTACAGTGTAGGAGCTATTCAAATTAAAACATTTTAAAAAATTCACAACAAATCAGAGAAGTATTTTTTGCCAAAGGTAAAGTTTGTAGTATGTAAAGCAGCCAAGTATTTACCAGCATGCATGATTTTGTGTCAACAGCGTATACAGTGTAGGAGCTATTGAAATTAGAAAACTTAAAAAATTCACAAAACATCAGAGAAGCACTTTTTACTCAAAGTAAAGTTTGTAGTATGTAGAGCATGATTTTGTGTCAACAGAGTAAAGTGTGGTATTTTCTCTAAAATATAAAATGTGTAATATGATCAGCATCAAATTTGTGATTTTCTGTGTTTATTTGGTGTCACTATAGTTTCAAATGGAGGAGCTTTTCCAATTTATGTTATTAAAAGTTTCACACTAAATCTAAACTGTATACCTGGATTAAACTAAATAGTGTAGTGTGATCAGCGTGTGTGCAGTGTTGTATTTTGTGAATTGTCACACTGCAGTGGACTTTTTCACATAGTTTATCATCAAACGTTTCTGGTGTGATTATTTGCTGACGGTCCTGAGCGATCGTTTTGCTCCGTCGGCCCACACAGAATCACAGACCAATGTAACGCGTCGGGAGCAGAGCACGACAGAGAACGGATTTTTTTAAGTTGTAGCTTGTTCTCTACCTTGCCACGATATCAAAGAGGTATGCTATGTTTCTAAATACCCCTGTGTTCAGGAGGTATTGAGCCGCATAAGTCGAATCTGTGAATATCTTGCTAACTTTACTGAAGTGAGTTTGTTACTGAGCCATTCTAAAAAAAATTTAAAGTCAAATAATTCATTATCTGAAAGTGTCTGGTTATTTATATGACAAAATATGTCGTGTAGTTTGACTTTCAGAAAGTCACTATTTTCCTTGTACAATTTTTAATTTTATTTTGGTGCATTTAAATGAATGGTGATATAGTACGTGTAGCATTTTAATATTAGAATGTATATTTACACATGGAAAGTATCGAGGTTAATAAATTGTGTGGCAGTAGCTCTTCTGTACTTTCATGGTGTAAAAGTAGCTCACGGGCCACCCCACAACGCCACCTGCACACACTGGTTTCTATGTTGCCTAGCTGCACACAAAGCTAACTCATCAGAAAAAGGCTAGCTCTGGCTAAACAACACAAACAACTAGAATAGTTTAACCGTCAGGTTGTGTTCACAGTAACAAAATTATCGTAACAATTTTTGCTTTGCCAGTGGCTAATTTGTCGAGTCTCGACTTTCCGACTCAGTAATCTTAAACCAAGAAGACGTTAGCTTCGTGTGTAAACAGGCCTAGTTGCTTTAGCTCATTAAATGACAGGATGTACAGGTATCGATCAACAACAGGCCACTTAAACTACGATCAAACTTACACTAGTAACAAATATAAAATCTCGAACAAATTGTAGAGTAAAGCCGAGTCTTGCCAATAGATGTAGGACAAAATGTATCCAAACGGCAGTCTGGAAGCGTGAAGATGCGTCTTCTTGTTCGTGCTGCTGCTCTCGCTAACTGCCAGTGTGACGCGAAAAAGATGGACGGCCAAAGGCCACCTCTTTATTTTGGTATGTCGTTTTAACATATAATCAATAATCGCACATCTCATCAACTCCTGATTTGTATTTACATAATGTATGCACTACTATGTACTAATTGAATTCTTATTAGTGAAAATGGCAAATAAAAATATCAACAGCTATTTGTTACTAGTAAAAATTATATTTAAGGATATCCAAAATAACAACTGCACTAATAAGAATTAAAGAGCTAGTCACACCAAAATCAACTTTTTTTTGCTGATAACTTGTATAAATGAGTGTCTAATAGTGTTGTAGACATGTCCTCACCTTGGCTCAATGTGTTCGAGATGAGCCAGTCCTGCGCAGATTAGATCACCAGTGATCAGGGCGCAGTGCATGCCGGTTAGTTTTTTGTCCGACTTGACGCCGAGTTGCTCTGACATAGGCAACGATAACCTCGTGAGATCAAGGTGGCCGCAGATTTCAAAGCAAGGCGCTGCAGTTGCTCTCCACCGGCTGCAAAACCTAGGGCATGACGGGAAACGCCTGGCTCTCACCTGATCTAAGTTCTGTTTGGTTCACATTTTGATCCAAACATCCAGTGGTAGAATGTGAAATGTTAGTTGGTCACATGTATTCTGTAAATCATGTAACGTTGATGATGACAACTATATAAGCCATAAAGAGAAATGTGGTTTGTGTTCTTTTGTCACGTTTCCTATGAACACACTAAACCTACACCTGACAACCTTTACTTATTATTACAGTCATATCTCCATATACAATATATGATATCCACAAGCACGTGAAGATGTGTTTCGGTTGCTAATGGACTCCAGAATTAAAATAAAAAATTAAACAAGTATGAACGCTGACGCGATATCTTCATCCATCGTCACCCGCGAGCTACACATGTAGGGAAATCTGTCTGACTTAAAAGAGACATAACATGCTTTTAAGTTATTCCTTTTTACATCTAAATTTTTCAGTTGGGGTCTAAATACTGTGGAACTGCAGTTCTTTGGTCTGATTTCCTCATTATTGTTGCTCTACAGACCCTCATCTACCCCTGTTCTGAGGAGAGTCTAGAGAACGAGCCGTTTTTGGGTACTGTCTCTTTAAACTGGAGAAGGGGCTGTAAACTCCGCCCCCCTCCATAGTGCAGATCTGTACTCTCCTCCCCCAGTCGGACTTTGTAGTTCTATAGAGAAATCATTATTTAATGTGGCAGAAACATTATATTAGCATTTTTAAAACATGTGGGGAGAGTTGTTCATCAGGCTGTTTCAAGGCTTCTAACTCTCTCCTGCATTTGTCTGTAGTCACACACACACACCCGTCACGGCCGACGGAGGGACACACACACACACACACACACACACACACACACACAAGGAATGCTTCTTGCTTATTTATTTCTATAAAAAATGTTTTAAAAAATGATACAGCTCATTAAAACACCATTAAAAGAATATATTTTATTAAGATCTCTATCTATATATATACATACTAATAATTTTATAAGTAGTCTTATTTTATATTGGGTGTCTTAATGGCTGAAAATGGATAAAAAGCAGTTACATTTTAATTTAAAGATTTGAGATTCTAATCAAAAATAAAGAACATTCCTCCAAATGTTCTTTAATGTGATCATTATAATTCTAATGCTTAGAACTTTCTTTTTATTGTATGCAATGCGTAGCCTATATCTTTATTAAATATGTGTTTAGCTGTATAACGTGGTAATTCTCTCTAATGTGTACAGAGAGGTGGACATCAGTGCTGCAGTGAAATTCCCAAGATCAGTCTGCTTTGCTAACAAATATAGTTAAATCTGACCTGCATTCTAAATAAATACCGTTAGGTGAAAACATCAGTAGGCATTGAGTTATTGATACAATCCCTAACAGCCAGAATGGAAGAAGAGCATGCTGGGTCATCCTGGATCTGAGCCTGTTCTGTGTATTTACCTACAGGATGCAATAAATGTCTACAAGGCTGAGTTTGGACCATTACATCTAAATGAAAACATACAATCAGTGGTTTTTTAAATTGTTTACATTAATATACAAATTTTCAAAGTATTAACCTCACAGCAAATAAGTAGAACTATATAATAAACAGGATTTAGTAGTTAAACAGGCGTTGTGCACACAGGTGCTTTGGGTCCCAGTGCTGGTGGTATCTAGGTCTCAGAGTTCCTGTCCTCCTGCCGTCTTCTGTTGTCCTCAGGATACGGATTGATGTTTCCTGATGATAAGGGAGGGGCAGTATGTGGGCTTCAAACTGGTCCTGGATAACAGTGGGAGACCTCCGTTGTCTGAATACTGAGACCAGAGAGTTGGTGAGATGCAGATCTTCTCTACCTCATCTAGAAACGGAGTTGGTTCAGGGAAAACTTTTCCAGAGACCAGTTCCATGATGTCATCGCCATATTCTGCAATGATAGACGATAACTTTAATGACATATTTTGTTTACAAGCAGCTTTAGGAAAGTTGTTTCTTTAGCTTTCATGTTTATAGTCACGTTTGTGTTGTTTTGGTTTACTTTGTTCACAAGTTCACTTTGCTGCAGTGACTTCATATTTTCTTACAAATGTAATAAAATAGTGACACTAAAATTATACAAATGATTCCTTATGAAAGGAAGCTCATTAGAGAGCAGCGCAGACAGACTTACTACATGCTGCAGCTGTTTTTGTAGGCCAGCTGCTGCTGAACTTGGGGAAAGTTATTCTGCACACATCCAGATCAGATGGTTGTTAACAGAAAATAATGTAATTCAATAATTTCTAAACAGACTAAACAAGTAAAACATCAAATAAATCACTCTGCTGTCATCAGACGGAGTGATTCAGGGGGTGAGGTGTTCTTAATGATGAGGGTGGCTGAGGTGTGTCATCACTCACTTTGGTCTGGTCCAGACCGTCTCTTTACTGGTGGGTCTCCTTCCTCAGTAGGTGTCGTGAAGCTCCAACATCTGAACGTTCTGTGTTCCTTAGAGGAGAAGAAAAGTAACATTAGCACTGGCTAAATTATTTTTACTAGCATCTCAAGGCCTTGGAGAAGCAGCTCTTCACTTACCTAAACATCAGACCAGTTTGTCCCAGCTGAGCTCATCAGGGCGTTAGTCTGACAGCCTGTCAGTGAAACACGGCTCCAGCCTTCTGGATGTGGACTCTAAAAAGCAAAGGAACATTTTTACTGTTGTTTTAATTATTTTACAGCCGATTTTATCAGCTTTCCGACGCTCACGCTCATACAGACGGTGAGCTTTGCTGCATCTGACTGATGCAGAGTTAGTTTTTATATCTGCAGAGAGACAAAAAACTAACCTCACTTCACTCAGAGATTTTCTTTAAAACTCTATTAAATCCACTGTGTTGACGCACTTTAACGACTTTGTCACGCTGCATTTTAGCTGATATGGGACTTAACCGGATGCTAAGATCACATCACACTCACGTAGAATAACACACAGGCTCTCTGCTGCTACAATCAGTGGAAGGTAATCATCTGGTGTAAAAAAAAGGCATTGGTGAGAAATTCCAGATCACGTTTAATTACACGAAAATCGGCCAAATCCAAAGTGCTAACTTTACTAGCATAATGTGCTAGCGTTAGCGAGTCGGATGCTAATGAAGGGCCTTGAGTGTCTGTTAGTGCCTGTTTTTGTCTTCTTAAACTTTTGCTTTGCACCATCTTCCATTGGGAAAAGAGAAGGAAACTCATCTGTGGGGTATCCTGTTGTCTAGTAGCTCCGGTTTGGGCCAAGTGAAAACAATAAGTGCAATCAGGGGCTGTAAACAAGCTGTTTCTGCCCTCCCTGAAAGCACTCATCAGGTGATCTAGGTCTCAAACATTGCAATCAGCTGCTGCATGAACACCTGTTTCCAACTAGTAGCACAGCATAAGTTTGGTGGCATAACTGAAGCGTCAGCCCTTGTGTCTCAGCCCCTCCGGTGTAAGACACTCCGGGGTAAAGACATACGTGTCTACCTGCGCGTGTCCACAGAGCAAACAAACTCAACCCAGACGCTGCTCCATCAACACCTAGCAAAATGTGCCATTATCCTATTCCTGTGATCACTGGCTTCGGAGGAAGGTCACACACAGCAAACCGCTTCTGCGACCTTCAAAACCTCCGCTCGCTACCCCCCCCCCCCCCCCCGAAGACATCCACCTGTCTATGGGACTGTGGAACTGCCAATCAGCTGTAAACAAAGCTGACTTCATTACCGCATATGCAAACCACCTGTCACTCGACGCACTGGCTCTCACTGAGACCTGTATCAAACCATGTGACAATGCTACCCCATCTGCTCTCTCAGTTAACCACACTTTCTCCCACACTTCACGTGCATCTGGCCGAGGTGGTGGAACGGGCATGTTACTTTCCAACAAATGGATATACAGTCAGTTGGTACCCATCACTAAATAAAACTCCTTTGAATACCATGCCATCCAGGTGACTGTACAGAAAAAATTCTTTTTGGTTGTCATATATCCTCAACCAGGTCAACTCAGAGACTTTCTTGATGAACTCGACACCCTGCTTTCCTCCATTCCTGAGCACGACTGTCCCACAATGGTCCTTGGAGACATGAATATTCACCTGGACAATCCCAGCTCATCAGGCTTCCTATCACTAATGTCATCATTTGATTTAAAACTAGTACAAAGCCCTCCAACTCACAAAGCTGGAAAAGCACTTGACCTCATTTTCACCAGAAACTGTGCCATAGACACAATCTCTGTCACACCGCTGCATCTTTCGGATCATTACTTCATCCATTTCAGCACGACTCTACAAGGGAGGTCCCCTGCTTCCTCCCCAATAGTCTCATTCTGCCTTAACCTCCGCAGTCTGGCACCCAACTACTTCTCCTCTCTTGTTGCCTCCACTCTTCCATCTCCCAACACGTTCTCTGCTTATGAAGTGAATGAAGCCACCGAGTCACTCTGCTCCACACTCTGCTCTTGTCTTAATAACTTGTGTCCTTTAGCCACTAGACCTGCTAGATCCTCTCAGTCGCACCCTTGGCTGAATGATACCTTCCAGTCTCTACGCACCAAT